GGAATGCTAGTAGCACGGGTGGGTGTGCCCAGGGTTTTCCCAGAGGCAGCTTTGAAACCAAGACTCGAAAATTGTAACCCCTCATTAGCAAATGTTACTAACATGTTTCCTGGTGCATGTCTTGGACTCACCTCCCCACCACACCTGGCTTAAAACCAGTTTCTCGTTTCCCACAGAAGCATACCCTACACTTGAAGGATTTTGGGTTTCTTCACTTTCCGCAGTCCTTACATACAAGGACTGCTTGAACTTAATTTGCTTCTCAAAACACCCGATGTCTCCCGATAAGAAAGTTCTGTTGCTGTGCCTTTGAAACACACACGTTATTTGCATACTGCGCCATTTTACTAACCAAAGCAATGTCTCAAAGTGTATCTTCTTGGATTTATTTGAGGAAATACAGGGTACTCGTAGCAAGTGGAATTACTGCATTGTGCCGACCAGGAAATTGAGCTGCCAGGCTCCCTGGAAGTGAGGTGGGGCGTCAGGGACTTTATTCTCTGGCTTCACAGGGCAGCTCGGGCAGCTCGTGAGTCTAGCAAGAGATGGTAAATCTGTTCCTTCCTTTTCAGCTCCTGAGAAAGTACCTCCAAACCAGTCTGAGTTCGGTACCCCAGGGACGCCAAATCACATGACTAATTAATCAGTTTCCTATTTGTCACCGCTCTTTAAAAAAGGGGGGAAATTAAGATTCTGGCTTTCAATTTCTACTGGAGTTGGAAAGAGAGCCCTGGAAGCAGTGCAGGAATCACTGGTCCCACGTGGAATCCTTGCCCTGGTTTGCAAGTGCAGGCAAGAGCCGCGCTGGTCTCCGCAGAGCCTCCTGGTAGCACCTGACACACGCCTGACCCGCCAGTGCCCGCCTTTCTGTAGCTCAGGGTCCTTTGCACCTGGGATGCTGCTCTGTGTTCTCTCAGAGTCGTCTCCCGCTGGTCTGTGCTTCAGGGTCCACACGCTGCTGTCCTCTGTTGCCTGCCCTGCCGGTGTGTGAGCCCCGGGGTTGGGGGGGGCATGTTTACTTTGCAGGCCTCTTTCCCTGGTTGTCTTTTCAAAGGAATGAGCTTTGTCTCTCCAGGACCTACCCAGTGAGGCCTGTGTACCTTGTTGAGTTTTCCTATGGGTTGAACATGTGAACTTGCACTTAAGCCTTTCCTGGTTCATAAGCCCCAGTGGGGACAGTGGGCCGCTGGCGGCCGGTGTTCTACTCCCCGCTCCCCGGCACTGGCTCTGTCCCAGGTTCTGGTCACGTGTCTTGAGTGGTTACTTCACACACCTGTACAGCAGGCTACAGAATCGGATTCCCACAGCCAGGGCTCTGCTGCCTCTGTGACCAGAGCCCCTTCCCTCCAGCGTCCCCCTTGTCCTAATGACTGTAAGTTATCTTCACCCCTACACACAGTTAATAACTAATTTCCTGAGTCATGAGAATCGGAGCAAATTGAAAAAGGAGACTTTTGCGGCATTTCAAATTGCCATGTGTTTCTTCTTCGGATTCATTTGCTCTAAGAAATAAAGTCTAAATTTAGGGCTGCGTTTTTGGAGGTTTTGTTAAAAATACTGAACTAATCTGTGTTTTTGTTTCCTTACTACAATTTCGAAAACATGACCTATTTTCTGCAGGACTCACTAGCAGAAGTTGAAGAAAAATATAAGAAGGCCATGGTTTCCAACGCTCAGCTAGACAATGAGAAGACAAACTTTATGTACCAGGTCGATACGCTAAAGGACATGATGCTGGAGCTTGAAGAGCAGCTGGCTGAGTCCAGGCGGCAGTACGAGGAGAAAAGCAAAGTATGTGCTAGTGCGAGAAAGAAGGGTGGAGTGTATATATATGTAAACGCTATATGTAAGGACGGGAGAATATATAGATATATAAATGGTGTATGTAAGGATGGTACAATATATATATAAGTGATATATGTAAGAATGGGAGAATATACATGTAAATGGTATATGTAAGAATGGGAGAATATATATATACACACAGGCATATGTATATAAATGGTATATGTAATTATAGTAGACTATATATATAAATGGTATATATAAGGATGGGAGGATATACATACGGTATAGGTAAGAATGGTAGAATATATGTGTGTGTGTATGTATATCTATTTGGTATATGGTATCTACATGTTATACATGCGTATGTATATATTTGTGTGTGTGTGGTTTTTTTTAAAAACAATAGTTCTCCACTTGCCCTGAAAGCCCAAGCATATAAGAATAAGAATACCATGCTCTTTGCTGAGGGACTTGCAATATTGGTATGCACAATTTCAATATGTAAACCAGAGACAGTTTTACTAGGAGGACATTTGTGTGTTTTGCATGTAAGGTAAAATCATAACCATGAAAAACCCTGCCTACGAAAGACCCAGCATGCTTGGACAAAGCACAATTAGATGCTTCAAGATTTTCCTGTTAATATACATTTCTTCATTCTTATTTTGTTATCTCAGCACCAGAGAGAAATAGTTGCAAGTATCAAGGATTTTAAGAAAATTATATTCGTTTGTTTTCTGCTGATTGGAAAAAGACATGGTTCCTCCACTTGAGAATTAAAAACCTTCATTAACATCAGAAAAGGGTAGAATCTTATTTGAGAACCACTGGAATTAATATGTTAACTTACGTTATCAACAAAAAGCATGAGCACATGTTGAAATTAATGACAGTAGGCTGATTTGGTGAAGGCTGGGCTTAGCTGTTCTTCGTGAGACAGCAAGGAATACTTGTTCTTCATACTTTAAGGAATTAGTTGGTTTGTCAAATCCTAAATATTATCCAGTTTTTCAGAGTTGCTGAGATAAATAGAAAATTTAATTTGTGAGTGTCATTATCTTTATTTTTCTAACTCGCTATATCCTCTAAATCCCAAGGGTTAAAGCCAAATACCATAACAACTCAAGGGCCTCCTTTCCCGACTGTAGTTGAGTTAGAAGCTAAAGAAGAATTTTGTCCATGAAGTTCCTGATAACTGAACTCTGAAACAAAGGAGAAACTTTTCATGAGACCTGATGTCATGAAAGCTTTCTTTGAAACTAATTCATAATTTAGGAGCAGAGAGCGTATTCTGAACCCACTTGGGTGGAACAGTACTGTAATGCCTTCTAAATACTCCTAGGACGCCCTCATTTAGGCATCAGGAAGTAGACCAAGAAGCCCCAAATCTAATTCCAGAGAAATGGGGTGATCCTGGAACGTTGACCCAAGGTGGGGACCATGGACAAAGCGAAGCCCGACAGACATGTCTTTGTCACAGCTAGCAGGGTCCAATCACCCCCAGACTTCAGAAAGTGGGTGAGCACATGATGCCGGGGTGAGCTAAGGTCAAATCCCTTCTAAAATAACCGGTAACGAATTGAGAGAAGGTGTTCCCTGCTGTTCCCTAAACTGTTGGCAGCTAGGTGGGTACCACACCATCGTTAGGGACTGCGCTGCTGTGCTGAGCCGAGTGGGAGACCAGTGGAGCGTGTTGCCCGGTTGCAGGGATGAGTTGCATGCAGGGAAGGGTTGGACTGGGGGAGCGGCTTTGTGCTGACAAGGGCTTTGCTTCCCCCGCCTGTCTCTGTTTTGTCTCTGAGGTCCAGAGCTGGCCGCCTACTGTTAGTGAGATAAACTTGCCAAGGTAGACCATCCCTTTTTGCCCCAAAGAGTATTCATCGGCATATTTCAAACTCAGGGATGATTTTATTACCGCTCTTTTGCAAAGCTGCCTCCTCCAGGCCCTCAGCAGACAGCGTGGGGGACCTTCCCAGGGCACGGCTTACCTGTAAAGAAATCGGGTCATACTGTCAGCTGTGTCAACTCCTCAGGGTTTTTTTTTTGAATTTTTGAATTTTATTTTATTTATTTTTTTATACAGCAGGTTCTTATTAGTCATCCATTTTATACTTATTAGTGTATACATGTCAGTCACAATCTCCCATTTCATCCCACACCACACTGCCCCCCCCCGCCCCTTTCCCCCCTTGGTGTCCATATGTTCGTCCTCAGGTTAATTTTACAGTAGATCGTAGGGGTGTCTTCTAGAAAATCCAGAGAAACTGGTTCATGTTGTTAAAAAGGCCTTGAGGGCTTCCCTGGTGGCACAGTGGTTAAGAAGCCGCCTGCCAATGCAGGGGACACAGGTTCAAGCCCTGGGCCGGGAAGATCCCACACATAGCAAAGCAACTAAGCCCGTGCGCCACAACTACTGAGCCTGCGCTCTACAGCCCGCGAGCCACAACTACTGAGCCTGCGCTCTACAGCCCGCGAGCCACAACTACTGAGCCCCTGTGCCACAGCTACTGAGCCTGCACACCTAGAGCCCACGCTCTGAAACAAGGGAAGCCACCGCGATGAGAAGCCCGCGCACCGCAACGAAGAGTAGCCCCTGCTCGCCACAACTAGAGAAAGCCCGTGCGCAGCAACGAAGACCCAGCACAGCCAAAAATAACAACAAAACAAATAAATAAATTTATTTTTTAAAAAAGGCCTTGAAAACTGTGATGACATGGTACCAGGTAATTTGTTCCAGGTAAAGGTAAATCACAAGAACGTGAACTAGAGTGACAGAAAAATGTGATTCCACTGGAACTTGAACGCTCTTTTCCTCCTTTATAGGAATTTGAAAGGGAAAAGCACGCCCACAGTACCCTCCAGTTTCAGTTTGCTGAGGTGAAAGAGGCCCTGAAGCAAAGGGAAGAAATGCTTGAGGTGAGTGGTTTTTCCCGTTTTTCTTTTCTGTTCTTTTTTTTTTTCTTTGTGTGTGACTTAGGAACATCTTGTTGGGTCATTACTAAAGCTACCAGTTTTCTTGAAAATTGAGTTTAGGCGAATTCTCCATGCCTCGCTTGAGGAGACAGTTCCTTTTATTAGTGAAGATTCTCATTCTTTGGTGGTTTTGTGTTTGTTTGAGGAGGTGTGGCAGACCAAATAATGCCCCCAAGATGCCCACGTCCTAATCCCTGGAACTGTGACTATGTCACCTTACTCAGACAAAGGGACTTTGCAGCTGTGATTAAGTTATGGACCTTGTGATGGGAGATTATCCTGTATCATCTGCATGGACCCAGAGTGATCCAAAGGGTCCTTGCAAGAAGGAGGCAGGAAAGTCAAAGGCAGAATAGGAGATGTGACCACTGGGGCAGAGGTCAGAGCCACGTGAGGAAGCGGCCACAGACCAAGGACTGTGAGCACATCTAGGAGCTAAAAAAAGGCGGAAATAGATTCTCCCCTGCCCCGAGCCTCCAGAAAAGAGCCCAGGCCTGCCCATGCCTTGGGGACACCATAAGACTTATTTTGAACTTCTGAGCGCCAGAACTGTAAGAAAATAAGTTTGTGTTGTTCTAAGCCACTGAATTTGTGATAATTTGTTACAGTGACAAAAAGAAACTAATACAGGCTTGATTTTTTACTTTTTTAATTTGGTTAGAACTCTAGTGCCGGTAAGTGAGAAGTTCACTCCAGCTGGTTTTCTTCCCACACTTGGAGATGGGGAAAAGGACAAGGATAAAGTCCCAGCATCCTGAGAACGAACTCGGGATCAGTGAGGAAAAATGGTGCTGGGACCTCCAGGGGCGCTTGCCGGCTCAGGGGATGTCTACACTGCAGAGTTGCTTCCCGCTTAACCCTGTATCTGCTTTCTTTCTATCTGTTCCTATTCTTCAGGAAATCCGACAGCTACAGCAGAAACAGGCGAGTTATATCAGGGAGATTTCTGATCTTCAGGAAACAATAGAATGGAAAGACAAAAAGATAGGGGTAGGATTCTCAAGTCTTTGAAATCGGTTCAAGTGGGCAGTCTGCTCAGCAAATTGAATGCTTTCAGAATCTTTGGTTTGCAAAAAGGCTTGTATGAGTTTGCATGTGACCCCCGTGGGACACAAAGCGAATAAAAAGAGAGACGACATGAACTTACCCAAATTGACATTAACTCCAAATTGGAAGTGGACTTCCAATGTGGAGATTCTCCTTTGGTCAGCATTCCCGGGCTCCCTGCCTGCCTGTGAGCAGCCAGCGGCACAGAGATCAGAGGAGTGAGGAATGCGTGGAGGCTCAGACCTCCTGGAATTCCCTGTCCCGTGTTGCCTGGGCTTTTTCTCCAAGGGCTTTGAGGAAGCTGCAAGGTGGCAGGTGCTGTGCCTCACGCATCCCCACCTTGAGCCCCCCCAGGGAGATGTCAGCCCCTCTCCCTCCACAGGGAAAGAAGAGGCAGCCCATCTGCATTTAGGAGTGACGAGTAGGGAGAAAAGAACACGCTTAATAAAGTGACGGCTGTGCTCCGCGATGCCAAATGGCTTCCAAAACACGGCGACTCGCTCCACACGGCTCTGATAACAATCTCTAGACGTTGAAGCAAACGTCAGCGCCTTTACTTCGTGAAGCTGCACCTTGCCTTCACTTTGATACACTCCCCGACGCTTATTTAAGATTTTGTGTGCATGTCTGTGTGTGCGTTGTGTTTGCCTCAGGACCACTTTATGTTTATCTGTGACAACAAACACCGAGAATCAACGTACAAAAATAGTCTAAATTACTAAAATAGTTGTCACTGGGGGTTTGTAAACGTTTCTTCTTTTCCTTTATTTATCCCTCATTTAAATGGGTGCATGGCTTCTGTTGCTTCTCCAACTATGCCGTGAAACCGCAGAGTAAGCCAGGAGAGGGTGTAAAAAAGAGAGCATCCTTCAGAACGTTAATGTCTTTCAGGGAGCATGCGCAGTGACATTTCTTGGCTGGCGTAAACTAAGTGCAGAGCTTAACACTGCGTTGTGTTTATATCTTGAAGCATAGTCTGTCGAATGCCCTGCCGGTGTTAGCCTTTTACATAGCAGAAGCCTCCTTCCTAGTCCTGCTTCTGAAGTCGTCCGCTCACCTGTGCGAATCTTCTCTCTCTTTGCTCCGCTGCACACTCAGGCGTTAGAGAGGCAGAAAGAGTTCTTTGATTCCGTAAGGAGCGAACGAGACGATCTTAGAGAAGAAGCTGTCATGCTGAAAGAGGAACTAAAGGTATGAGAAGCCAAAGTACAGTTTGTAAAAATCCAGGCGACAACAGCAAATTCCAGGATTCTCAAGGATGAATGTGTGTGGACAGTGGCGTTCATTGATTTTATGTCGTTGAGTTTAGTTCTGTTAATAAAATCAAATCGTGGGTTAACTGACCCCAAAGAGACATGTGAAGTCAGGGTAGATTCTGCGGGGTGTGCCGATTGTCTTTAGATGTTTCTAGGCATATCTGATCTTGGAAGCAACTCTGATTTCCAAGAATTCTTTTGATAGGCTGTCTAAATTTTTTCTCAGGCTCACCAGTAAATTCTCCAGGACGTTACTCCAAGTTAGAGAATGTGTTTCTTTCTTACATTAAAGTCTCGAACATAAGGACCTCTGTAGCTGGACAGTGGCGTGGCTGACGCTAGTTAGACTTGGAGACCCCGTGGATGGTAGGGAAGTTCTGTCTGGGCCATGTCGAGGGGTCTTCAGCTGCTGGCTGGAAACTGAGTAAAATAAACCAACGGGCAGCAGCGGGGGTCAGAGCTCTGGGTGGACTCTCGGCACCCTAGAAGGTGGTGTTGAGTCTAGGGGGTATGGCCACGGGCTGGCGCGTGCATCGCCAATGTCAGCTACTTATAATGAAGGGTCAAGGCCAGAGCATTAAGCCAGCAGGGAACAGGCTTAGAGCTCAGATTCGCAGTGCTGCTTCTAGCCAGGGTGTGAGTACAGGGTTGGGAATTCCTCCAAGCAGAAGAGAAAGAGCTATGGGCGGCAGGAGCGGGTAAGGGAGGGGGTGATCCCGGGTGAGGGGGGCGTCCTGGCGTTGTGAAGCGTCGCTGGGTTTAAAGTGTTTTGCTGTGTGGTGAGCACGAATTGCATTTCTTTTGACTATAACAAACCTTCCAGCCAAGTTTGATCATTCCTCTCAGAACACGTACATATTTCTTTATCTCCATCCTTTTAAAGAACACAGCCGGGGTTTTAGAGGTAAAGACCACTTTATAGTGATTTGCGTGTTGCTCCGCTTTCTGGCAGCCTACAGTGAAAAAGGATGCCCAAGGAAAGTGTTTTGTCACCAGCACACTAAGACGTGGATGGGAACATGTAAGGGAGAATAACCCTTGGAGGAAGACATCCCAGATCAGTGTGTGTTGATAGAATATGTACAGGGGTGCAGCCTAGCGCTCCTCTGTGTCTAGAGTTTTCCTCTGCTTAGGGAAAAATAGGGGTTTTTTAAATTGTTATTTATAAAAGAAAGTTTAACCTAATATCACTTAGTGAGTATTACGCTGAGCCTGTTTTTATTCCCAGAAACATGGAATAATCCTAAATTCAGAAGCAGCTACCCATGGAGAGACTTCAGACCCTCTAAATAATGTTGGCTACCAAGGTTCTACAAAGATGACAAAGGAAGAGTTAAATGCCCTCAAGGCAACAGGGGATGGGACGCTAGGTAAGTACTTGTTTTCCTTTGATCCTTGCGTCTTCCAGTCAGCACTGGTTCACCTTCCACGCATTGGCAGAGTTGACGTAATCATCACTGATCGATTAACAGTCACCCAGCATGCCCTTCGTTCTGTCACTTCATGGGAACTTCCTTGTCAAACGATGCCATCACCCACGTGTGTTGTCTGGCATGTACCTCTGTTCAGTGCTCACCACCGATGGCTTAAGAATACGTTTCTTTTGCTTCTCAAAGCTGCCAGTGAGACTGTGAATACAAGGAAAATAATCTCAAAATTAAGTGACCGTGTTGACGGTTCAGTTGTATTTGGTTTTCTTCAATTATGTGCCAAACACGGCGTTGTGACTTACTCTGTTACAGAATTGTCAAAAGATCAGAATAGCAGAGCCGTAAAGTAAGTTAGTTGACTGTATTTGCAAGCCAATGCTGCAAATCCTGTGCATCATTAAGCGTTCTGAGAGTCTGACGTGCCTGTGGACAGCAGATGGACAAGTAGCCCTGGGTGTAGGTGAGATGGACGGGGAGCCCTGGGTGGTGAGTGTGGTCGTTGCGGAGGGCTTTCCTTACCAGCAAGAGTCTGAAAACGTCCGCCCCTTTGTCAGAGGTGATGTTCCTTTGTATGTCACATTTTTGCTTCTGAAAGAACGTAAATTGGGAAACCCAATATATTGTAGGAATATTTTACACAGTTTTCAGATATCTGAAAAGATTCACCAATTAATATTTGTCGTAATATACTTGGCTTTGGCATAAACCTTCTGCGTGTGGTGGGCCGCCTGAAGTTGTAGCCAGCAAATAAGGCCTCGCTCGCAACCGTTTCCAGCTTTTCACGGTGAGGCTGGGATAAGGTCAGGGACCATGGCTGTAGTTTCCACTTGGAAGGTTCTTCATGGACATGAAGAAACCTGTAGGCCCCAGCTTCCCAGGACTGGCTTTCCGGGAAGGTGCCTCATTACCCTGATGACTATTCAAGCAACACAGCTCTTTTCATTGTGTCAGAGTTGCTGAGGGAAGATAAACTGATGAATGTCCATCCTACCTTTATGTTCCCTACCTGAGCAGCTAGAATTTATCATGCTGCTCTTGTTCAAATATACATCTTATAAATCCTTGATAACTGTTGTGTAATGAACACTTAAAGAACTAGAAACGTCAACTTTGTAAGTGGTCTCCATGTGTTTTTTTTCGTTTTTTTGTTTTTGTTTTTGTTCTTTTGTGGTACGCGGGCCTCTCACCGCTGTGGCCTCTCCCATTGCGGAGCACAGGCTCCAGACGCGCAGGCTCAGCGGCCGTGGCTCACGGGCCCAGCCGCTCCGCAGCATGTGGGATCTTCCCGGACCGGGGCACGAACCCGCATCCCCTGCATCAGCAGGCGGACTCTCAACCACTGCGCCACCAGGGAAGCCCTGAATGTTTCTTTTAAAAATTATCTGAAAGCTGCTCTCAGAGCTGCATAATATTCAGTGCAGTTTGACAGCTGGAAAAGTAGGAGTGGTCCCTGTGTGCATCCAGAAATGAGAATGGGGACCATGAAACCTTCCGTCCTTCTGAATCCCCTCATCTTGGAGAGTTTGGCTGCCTGATCCAGAGCTCTTTCTTATTTGTTAAAACTTAACTTCACCTTTGAAAGTCAGTTCACCCCAGGTGGCACCAGCAGCCACTCTTGCCTTTGACATGGTGGCAGTGGCCTCCGCTGATCCAACATTTGCTAACGCGATGGCTGCTTTGCCGCACAGAACTGGCAAAGGCTTCTGTCCGTGTGCTTCTCTGATGGCTCTCTCTCTTTAGGAGCGGGGTTGGCTGGGAAAGAGAACATGTGTTTACATTGTAATATATGTTGTGTGGTCAACCACATCATGGGGTCCCTTCAATTTTCTCAATGGTCTTTTAGGAAGAGCCAATGAAGTGGAGGTGAAAGATGAAATGGTGGAGAATGAGGGGAAAAGAGAAATCTTGCAGAACACTGAGCAAAGACAGCAGAAAGCGGACCCAGGAAAGGACTGTGTGGACACAGAGGTGTTACATCCTGGTGACAATGCCGAGGACCGGAAAACCTCTGAAGACAGTGCCCCCTCCCCAGGAACGTTAGTAAATTCTGAGAACGAGGAACAGGTTCAAAGCCAAATTCTGGAGAACACTTCCTTCTTTGAAAGCACACAGCAGGTTGAGTCAAGTGAGGTCATAAACAGTGAACTAGATGGTGAAATCCCAGGTCCTAGGATTGGGCAGGGCAGCAGTAACGCCTTGGATATCAAAAACCAAAGTAAAGAACCTGCAGAACAGTGGGAAAAAGAAAAGCAGGAAGATTTTGAAACCAACTTGGAAGAGATTAGCATAGGACCACGTCAGGAACGTGCTCCTTTGCGCATTGGAAGGGAGAGCAGTGCAGACACTGGGGAGCAGAGTGGGAACCCCACAGAGGCTGTGCCGGAGGCAGGGCTCACTGGGTTGGGGGAGCAGGTGGGCACTGTAGCCTCAAGTCCTCCAAGGGGTGTCGCTGACACAGTGAGTCACCGTGAAAAGTGTGAGGTAGATGCTCCAGAAGGCTTGGACCCAAGCTCAGGGCATGATTTAGAGAAAGAACTCACCGACCAGGAGGTAGCTGAGCCCAAGGAGGTCCCAATTCAGAGCACGGAGGTAGGTGGGGAGAACAGTGAAGGGGAGGGTAAAGGAAGAAAATTAAGGAATGAGAAACCAATCGAGCTGGAAGTCCAAGCCATTCCTTGTTCTCCAGAAGCCAGAAGCAGCCCTCAGGAGGTGACAGGTCCAAGTACGGTAGATGCTGAAAGTGAACCCCTAGACGTGAAAGAGCCTGATGAGGAAAAGAATGAGCCACAGGGAGAGGCACTGGATTCGTCGCCCAAGAAAACAAAGAACAAGAAAAAGAAAAACAAGAAGAAAAAATCACCAGCGCCTGTAGAAACCAAAGATGTTCAGAAAGAGTTAACATTTCAAAACGCAGGTTTAAGTGAAGTGAAAGAAGAGCAGGTAGAATTTACTGACAAAAAGCCAGTTGTGGAAGCACAAGATGAGGTCACTAAAAACCCGAAACAGGACGCTGCGGTAGGAAGCAGTGAACACGCCGATGGTCCAGAAGATCCCAAAACTGAGTTGGTTGGAGGACTTCACCAGGACGATTTTGGTGTAAACACTAAGACAAGGAAAGCAGCAGCTGATGGAGACACGTTGGATTTTGAAGATAATGCAGTTCAGTCATCAGGCACCAGTGCCAGTAATAAAGAATTAGAGGAAGGTGCTAGAAAAGATGATGCTGAGGAAGATGGCACCGCTCCCAGCCGTCCTCCAGGTCCAGACAGTGAGGAAGTGCCAAGCAGCACCCTGCTCCTAGGTGAAGGTCCCTCAAAGAACATTAACGATGCCTGTCAAACAGAAGGTACAGAAGAGCATGTGACATCAGAAAACCGAGGTCAGACAGTCAGGAAGGTTTCAGACAGCGTTAGTCTAGAAAATGATGACGTGGCACCAGCAGGCGAGGTGGGGGACTTTCATTCAGAAAGCAAGGAAGAGATGACAGGTGGACACGGGAAGGGCAGAAACAAAGAGGACTGTAGCTTGTCGTAGGTTGAGGCGGGGTCTCAGGGAGGGACCAGGACTGCACAGCAAGTCCAACTGGGAGAGACTCCACCGGTGAGCCGCAGAAAATGTTCTAGATTGGTATAGACGCACCGAATGACAGTGCACCACCAAGTTATCTAATCCTCGAGGCTATAGACTGTTACCTGTAGATTTCTATTTCATCACTAGGCTTATCACCCAGATGAGAAGGACACTTCTGTTATTGGAGTTAGTTCTAATAGAGAGCATTCCGAGAGCATCAAACAATAATGTACACTGTTTTATTTCTGCTTAAAATCAGCATCAAAATATTTAGCTTTGGCCTTAAGCTGATATGAATGTGCATATTCTTGACCAAATGTATCAAAATCTAATTGAAGTGACCAAATAGTATCCTGAGATTCCCACATTATGAGTGATTTAAATGAAGGTGTGTCTCATTTAAATGTATGTGCTTTCATATTTGATCTTGATACGTATAATATAACCCGTATGGTATTTTATTTAAAAAGTACAGAAACGGCCAAACAGCATATAGGTCACTGAGTGATGAGATTTGCATGTTAGGACAGTAATTAATCATGTCAGGGATAGCAAATAAACATCTTACAGCACTAGGGGTAGCTTACTTGCCTTTACCTCATATAAGTATTTTATCTCAGACCAATACTTTTGGATCTCATTCTTGAGGACACCTGAATTTATTTTGTAGGAGATTTTGACTTCGTGACAATTATGTACCAAAGTCATTTTATACAAAGACTTCTTTTTTTCTTAAATTTTTTTCTGTAAGAGATACGTGTCGTAATTGCATTTCCTACTGCAGTATTTGGCTAGGGAGAATCATTTCTAAAATTTATTTTTTTAACCTTAAAATTACTTCTCTTTGTATTTGTCTAATCATTACTCAGTAGAGCAAGACAAAAGGATGCTATTCTTGTGCAAACTTCTGATCAGACTCTAACAGGATATTTTAAATAGTTGAATCACTTGGTATTCTGGTATAAATATTTTCATTTGTTGTTTTTCAGTATATTCTTACCAGAAATTTCTTGTTTTGATCTTCCTGAACAAGATATATATTTTCTATATAAAGAAACATTTTAAAAGTAATTGTAAAGTTAAATAAAAAACCATTATAGAATATTAAAATTACAGGGGAATGTACAGTTTGAATGCTGTTGACACTTTATGAGACCATATGACTTCGTATTATTGTTACAAGATATAATTGAGTGCAAAAATGACCAATACCTCCACAAAATTTGAAATAAAAACATTTTATAGTTTTACAAGCCCGTGGTCACTCTTGTGCTGCTTGAATTCTGACTGGCTACATAATATCATCTTTAATCTACTTTTATCTCCTTCTGGGTTGCTAATTCCCAATTGGGGTTCTATGGAGGACTCATGCGTAATATCCATTGTCAGTAGTGAAGAGCTTCTCTCCCGGCGTCTGGACTGGGACTAGTGTTGGACCATCCTTGAGTAAGATCTTTCCTCATAGAATCTCCTGTGGTCTGTGGTTGTGATGAAGAGCCCAGCTGAGAAAGGTCTCCATCTTGTTGCTTTGCTTACAGGTGCCAATGCTTATTAGAATGTTTTGAAGAGGTTGATGAGAATTTCAAATAAACATTGACTATTTCTGCATAAGTGTCCCGAAGCAGAGGATAATGGAACTAACTGCTCAGTTCTCTCCACTTGTGCCATATAAATAGAAAACTATGGGACTTGCTAGAGAATCAAGTCCAAGGGCTGCAAAGGACTTTAAAGTTGGTATCTATAACTTTAGCAAAGCTGCGTTCATACCGCAATGCACGTTGGGAACAGCTCTCCTTCCTACTTTTAAGGGCCTCTGGGGAAGTGATTCAACAGCCAAACTCACTCAGTGGTGAGATCATCAAACCATTTTAAGTTCTTTCCTTTCTTTCCCGTGTTATTCGACAGCACATTTAAGGGCATTATTATAGGCTTCCCATCCCTCCAGCCAGCCAGCCAGCAGTCTCAAGTGTTCATCCCTCATTTAATCAATAAACATGTAAGATCACTTCCTATATGGAAGGTGCTCTGCCCGTGAGCAAGCACGTAGGACCCACCCTCTAGTGGAAGCAGCAGAGAATTGGAAAGTCAGCAAAAAAGAAGATAAGGATTCTGAAGAACCAAACCATCCCTGATAATCTAAGAGCCTTCATTATGCACATCAATTACTCTGCTCCGAGGGCGAGATGATATTACAGCCCCACACAGTAATTAATGTGCACGTGAAGCCCCCTGAGTTATCAAGAAATGGTTACCTTTGGTATATTCAGTGTAGGAAGGCGTGGAAGTATATAAGGCAATTTGGAAGGATCGCAAATGTCAAACAATCCAGGCTCAGAAAAGAATCAAAAGGTGACCTGTCAGCCACAGCCCCAGAGGAACCTGGACCACTGAGGTTTCACTCTAATGCAGAACAGAGAAAAGCACCGATCACTGATACTTTAAATCAAAAAGCTGGGCTAGTTTTCAACCCCAAACCAGAACGTGGCTACTGTATGTAAAATGTTAATCTTCCTTCCAAAGTATGTAAGTATAACTATGAGTTTCTGTAAAAAATAGGGAAAGGTAACTGAGAATTTTGAATTATAGGCTATTTTATAACATACAAAGGTTGGGAAGCAGTGACATTTTTGAAAAGAGTGTTTAAGAATGTGGAATATCTTGCATTGCCTACTTTCTATAACATTGAGTATTTCCAATTAGTGGAAAACCTAATGACCTGAACATTTAAATTTCCACTGTCACTAGGACCCTGGAATGCTGCTTCTGGGTGTTTAGACAGTTTAGGGTTCCTGTTTTCCATTGATAAGATTCCTTTTCTAGGAGACCACCTTGTATGACATGCCACCATGGCCATCGAAACAAGGGAACACAACAGTAAGATTCATTCCAAATGTCCGGGCTCTAGAAGGAAAGGCAGGGGCGTTTGTGAGCGTGCTCCGTTCAGAATATGTGCTTATTCAGTGTGCTGACCTTATACAGGGAGGACAGTCTTTCAGGAGAAAAACGCTTTCGCTCTCTCCCTTTCACCCTCTCTGCCCCTCTTACATCAAAGACAAACGAATTTTTTGAGACGTGAAAGGCTTCAGCTGTTCTGCTGACCTGAAGCAGCAGCTGCTGTAGGGAGTTGCCATCTGTACAGGCCTCTTCAGCAGCCTGTCCCTGTTCTGCCTTTTACCGGAAGGAGGGGCGATCCTGGCGTGGGAGGCTAGCCCTGGGGAAGTTGAAAACTGACCACATGGATTATAATCAAATTAAGTCAGTGCAAGGAGGGATCAGAGAAAGGACCACACTCAGTGGATTTCTTGAGATGGCATTCTTCTGATCATTATCTTTGCGAATATGGAGGGAGGTGACTTTCTCTGCAATGGGGAGAGGAGGCCTCAGGCCCAGGATTGGGTGAAATTAACCCACAGAATGAAAATTATCCTCCTGATAATATATCATTATGAGTAAGCTACTTACCCTTACCGTGTCTCATTTTACTCTCTGAAATTGTGGTGATGTGGATCAGACCCAGTAAAGCACTGGAGAGTAAGTGCTGAGTGACCATGGTTGTTGCTGGTGGTTGACCTTTGCAGCCTGGACAGACGCAGTCACAACACGCAAGCCCCTCTGGAGCAGGGCTGGGGGTCCTGGTGCTTGCTTGCTGCCCCCGTGACTGTCTGTATGGCCTCGCCACCTTTCTTGTTTCTTGTTTCACGGGTCTCTAAAGTTCACACCAGAAAGTGTGGTGGAATTTAATATATAAAAAACAGATTTTTAAAAAATGTAATCCTTTAACAATGTTACTAAAATAACTTTGATTGCCAATCGATTATAACTTCCCAGTGTAAAAGAAAACTGAGTTCGAGACAGTGTGACTTTATTTTCTTTAATGCTTATCGTTTGGGTGTTAGAGACCAGTGGTGAGCAGGGCTGCTTAGTGAGTATAGGTTTGCAGCACTCTTGATCAGTATCACAGTAATTACCAGTCATGCATCACTGTTCACGTCACAGGTTAGACTTGTTGACTTTTAAGACTAAAAATAAGCAGTACTCATTTTCATTTCTTTTGAGTTTTTTTTATTGAAGCATAGTTGATTTACAATATTATGTTCGTTTCAGGTGTATAACATAGTGTTTGTTTCAATATTTTTATAGATTACACTCTATTTAAAGTTATTATAATATAGTGACTATATTTCCTGTGCTGTACAATATACCCCTGTAGCTTATTTATTTTATACATAGCAGTTTGTACCTCTTAATCCTCTGCTCCATCTTGCCCCTCCCTCCTTCCCTCTCCCCACTGGTAACCACTAGTTACCATCTGTGAGTCTGTTTCTGTTTTGTTATATTCATTCGTTTGTTTTATTTTTCAAATTCTACATATAAGTGATAACATATACTGTCTGTCTTTCTCTGACTTATTTCAGTGCTTATTTTCTTTATGTCAAACAATTTTGCTTCTTTCTTTTTTCCAGTTTCCTGAAACTATTTAATCTTTTCCACTTCTTTAAAATTTCTCTTCCTTAAAAGTTCCATTTGTCTCTCTCCATTTTTCATATTCTCACTATAAGACTTAAGGTCAGATTGCTCTTGTTTTTTATTGTTAGCACTATTACTACATTTTAACATTTTTTTTTTTTACTTGCTGTCTAAGATATTTGAAGTCTTCTAATAGAAAAATAATAATAAAATTGTAAATAGATATGTGAGCCTCAAATCACGTTCTGATCTATTCAGTGTTTCTTATGATGCCTGTGGTTTTTGTATATAGGAATATAAAATATACAAGGTAAAATGAAAAGTGATATTGAATAAGAGAGCCAGGTTTTCAATTTATTTTTAATTTTTGTTTCAGTGTTGGGTGCATTTATGGAAGGGACAGAATAAAACATCTGTCAGAAGCAGTCTGTATGTAAATTAACATGGAACTCAAAAGGATTATAAATGTATCTTATAGGTAACATTTTCTGTTTTCA